CAGCAGCAGCAGCAGCAAACTGATCGGTGATGGCGTCGATGTGAGATGGAACTCTAGTCCCGCAAACACGTGTTTTGGCACACATGAACTCAAAGAGATAAGGTTAATACTTACAAACTTGATGTATGTATGCACGGAATGTACCTCTGATTTTCCGCAACACTTGCGGGTCGTTGCAAGGGATACGAATTGTGTAGGTGCGCGTGGGGAGTAGGTTACCTGATGACAGGAACCTTTCAAGCATACTACGCACAAGCATACACATTCGCTTCAGAAGACGACTTGCCCAAGACCAAACTTTACGCGTGTATTCAACCAAATGCGAATGCCTCCACATGGCCCAATACTGCAATCTGTTGGCAGGTTGGGCAAGGTAGATGGCAAGCCAAGGTTCAAAGCCTTTCTGGTACATGAGTGTCTGCACGCGCGCGCGGGGAATGAGGAGTTTTTCACTACACCAATCAACCAACACATCAAAGGATATCCGTTGGGTATCAAATCTATTCCTAAGGTGGGGGTCGTGCCTAAGACCTCGAAGGACGTTAAGCTCACACTCTCTCTCCTTAGACAGCTGTGCCCGGAACCTTGGGAGCAGTCGTGACACACGTTCACGACACTGGTATTGATGATGTTGGGCTCCTGGGCTACGCTGTGTAGGAGGCTGGAGGATTTCAATACAATGTGTTTCATAGCGAAGGATGAGTTGTGTGGCCCCGTGGGCAAGGGGAATCGAAACGAGGCTCCAAATGGCATAACCTGTCCAGCTCTAATATCGAGGTCGGTGCTCTTGGCCGCCCATGCCTTTAAAGGCTGCACACCAGTGCTCACGAAAGCGGCTGACGGCACCGCCGTTCCAGTTCATTATATTATTACTTCTAGCTGTCTTGGCCTTGCCAAGGTACCATATGTTACTTTCCGTAGAAAAGGTGTTGTACAGCATGCTCGTATCTTGGGTGTTGACATTGTGTAGCATCGTGTACTTTAGAGCTGGTTTCGCAGCCCTGAGCATGACTCGCAGCTGCTGCTTACGCTCAAGATGCTGATGGATATAGTACAGGGCCTGATAGACGCCAAGGTTGTAATACAGATGCCAAAGGGGGAGGTTAGTACTTCCTCGAAGGAGCCATAGGCCGAGGACGCAACGAACCGATTTAATGAGCTCAGCCGTTGCTGGGTCTTGGAAGCCATGATAGGCCCAGGCTCCAAGACGGGCACCGATGGCTCGAGCATGTTGGCGTGGCACTGGGCTCCGAGGGACGTCGCAGGCATCTCCAATTTTATTGAGGATGTCTGGAACTGGGGTCCCTTGGAGGTGCTGTAGCCAGTGCTAAGCTGGTAGGTGGGGAAGGATAGACCGTGCTCTTGCTCCCGCTGGATCCATCGTTGCAGGGGGGGAGACCTACAACGACACGTACAGGCAACAGACCGTTGTTTTATACACCCATGCTAATAATATGGAATATGTAGGTGAACTGCTGGTAGTATGATGACCGATGAGATGACGATACCAACGATGGGACGAAGGAGGAGAGACGAGGATCTGCAAAGGCCAGACTCTCCCTTCCTTCCCCTCCCCACGCTTTCGGCACCTATCTCCGTCAGGGTCGCCGAGTTGAGACGGCAGTCCATGCTGGACTCCGAGGTTACGCTCTCCCTCTACCCCGGGTCCGCGTCTGCGGGTCAAATCAAGTCAATACAATGAGCAAGTCAAAAAGTCAGACTGCATGGCAAAGGAAACTGGGCGATAAACGCACCACATACGTGACCTAGCCTACACGTAAGAAGGATCATATGGAGGACGACCGTACATCTAGCACGCACGAGACCTCTGGCTAGCGCTGGAACGCTGTACTGGACATCAAATTCCACAGTGACTACACGAGTGGCAGGAACATTCAGGGTGGAAAACAAACTGTTTAATCCTGCTGCTGCTGCTGCTGCTGCTAGCGCTGCTCCAGACGCCGTCAGGATCATCAAGCAAACAGCGCACCTTGAAGCAATAAGCGGCAACGAGCAACCGCTCAATCCTCTGGCACTCGAGGACGGTAGTCCACGGGTCAGCCCTAGTCAGTTGCAACGCTGGAATTAGCGCCTGCGAAAAAGGCGGGCAGTGGCAGCATGCTCGGTCGCTCCTTTGCCAGTTCTTGCAGGCGAAACTGGAACCCACCGTGACCAGTTACAACGCTGCGTTGGGGGCTTGCGCGGAAGTTGGGCAGTGGGAGCAAGTGTTGTCGTTGCTCGACGAGGTGTGGGCCGCAAGGGTGATGCCTAACGTCATCACCTGCAGCGTCGGAGTCAGCGCATGCGAGAAAGGTGCAAAGTGGCACCTACTCAGCATGATTGAGGAATCCGAGCCGATGCAGTCTGTGCTTCGTTGTTTTGTTCAACGGAAACGGCTGTGCCAAGGAATTGGCACCGCCGTTCAAACAGTTTCATTTCACCGCGACCTGCCTCTCCTCTTCCCACTGTCTTTCTCATCGGCGTCCTCTTGTTGCTCCGTCTCCTACTCCCCTGCTGCTTACCCCCCCATCAGCACTAACCCTTTTCATGGTGTCCCTCCACAAATTCCCCCGCCCCCCCCCTGACACCGTACGAGCATCTGCGCAGGATAGTTTAAGTGTGGGGCGTCGCATCCTCCCTTTCGCCTCTCGTTTCCCAAGTGTTCTGTTATGTGTCCCGTTCCCTGCTTCCCTGCTTCTTATTTTTCTTGTCCTCATCACGAACTCCTTGCAGGGCCTCCCTCCGACCACCCTTCCGCAATCCATCAGAAGAACATTCCGCATGTTAGCCGCAGGACGCCGCACCCCCATCATTCCCCCCCATTCCTTTGTCGCTGATTCCTAATGATGTCCTCCGTCCGCCCTCTCTCTTCATGCTGGTAACGTTCTCGTGCACCCATACCGAATCCGCGCATGCGCACGCATCAGAAGCGCTGTTCTTGAGGTGTTGCTAGACGCTCCCGTGCGCCACTCTGGCTGCGGTGTTCCCGAAGGTCCCCCAGAGGCGTGAAAAGGGCCAAGAACTCTCACATAATCCTGATCCTCCCCTCCTGTTCCACAGCATGAACCGCTGAACTAAGGCGCGCGCTGGGTTCAGAAAAGGGCTCGCTTTTCCGTCGGCCATTCCGTGATTGTTCCTCTAGCGGTCTTCGTGCACCCAGGTGTCTCGGTGCCCCGAAAGGGGCTTCGTTCCTTCCTCAGCGTCCATGAGTGCAGCAGTTTGACTGTACGAGTCCCATCCCTCCCGTGGTACCGTGTCGTGCGTGGGCGCCCCCCTCCCGCCCAGCTGCTGGTTTCACACAGGGCTGCAGGCGATGGTGATGTCTGCAGCTTTGCTGCCTCCGTCGTGCCGCCTGCGCCCCCCCTCGTGCGGTGTCGGTCGGGTGTGCGGTCTCGCCCAGGCGAGAGCCACACTTTTGGATCTGATCCTTGCTTCGCTGTTGCCAGGCCCCTTCCCTCCAATCCTTCGCCTTCCCCTGGTCCTACCGGTATGTCTAATCATCCTACTTCTCATGCTGCCGATGCTGCTGTTGCTGCTGCTGCTGCTGCTGCTGCTGCTGCTGCTCCTCCTCCTCATATTTCTCCTCCTCCTTCCTCATCATGCTGCTCGTCCTCGTGTTCGTCGTCCTTTTTGTCCGCCTCCTCCTCCTCGTCCAGTCATTCTGGTTGCGAATCACACGATGGGGCCTCTGGGGGAATCAAGGTAATCTAGGACACTCCAGCAAGCGGGATGACAAGTATCTCAGCGCACTGTGAAGGGATCGGTGGAAGGGGATATGATGTCAGATATGGCGCTCGCACCTAGCTTATCCCCCCTCCTCTCTCCGCCTCCCCCTCTTCCCCTATCCTCCCTCCTCCTCTTCCTCCTCCAGGCCGCCGCCCGCAGGACAGAGGAGCTCCAGCCTCGAGAGTGCACGCCGCCGCCGCCGATGCACAAGGGTGTCGTGCCGTCGGTCGCCTTGGAGGCTGACGAATTTCGTTTCTGCGCGAGGTTGGGAGAATTTCGTTGCTCAGCCTGTAATAGGTCTGCCAGAACCAAGGAATGTCTTAGGGCCCTCCGTGCGCGCGAGTGCGTGCCGAGCCCTTTGGATGCTGCCTCAGCCGAGAGATTTTTCAGAATCACGCCCGAGAAGTATGTTCACCCCAGCGAGTCCGTGCGCGTGGCCATCGCCGCCGCCGAGTTGGGGGAGGACGGCCCAGAGCCAGGCGCGCCCCCCCAGGCGGCCGCCCCCAGTGGTGCGGGGGAGGATGGGGCGGGTGGGTACTTGGGTCGGGCGGTGGAGGAGGATGGAGAGTTGCTCTTCTCCCGTAGCAAGCAGCATGTCATGGAGCGCTTTGGCTGCACGGTCGTTTGCCTCAGCTGTGGCGCGTATTCAGTTTTACAAGGTAGAAGCCCCAAGCTGCAGAAGGAGTGTCGCGGGCACTGCGAGGTGCATGCTAATGAGGAGCAGGCGATAGCTCGAATCATGCGTGGTATTCATCCCCGTACTGGCCGCCCCTTGCCAGTATGATGCCCAGGCCGCACAGACTCCGCTTTCGATCGTTCGATTTCGCTGGGGTCGTCGCGTGCCTGGATGAACTGGGCGTTGTTGTCGAATCGTCGATAGCAGTGCAGTTTCAGTCCTTCCCCAATGCTGGGGCGCGTTCGATCTGATCGGCCGCGCCTTCCATCGCTCGGGACCTCGTCCTCCTCCTCTTCCTCCTCCTCCTCCTCCTCTTTCTCCTTCTCCTCCTCCTCCTCTTTCTCCTCCTCCTCCTCCTTCTTCTCCCCTGTCGTGCATCATGTATTATTCCTCGTCTGCGTCGGCATCCTAGCGGCTTTCCCCTCCGCATCCCCCCTCCACTCCCCCCTGCCCCTCCCTTCTCCCTCCCCCTCCCCCTCCTCCTACTCCCTCGTCCTCTCCTCCTCTCCTCCTTTTTCCTCTCCCCCTCCTCCTCCTCCCTCATGCTCTTTCCGTGCCGGCCGCCGTCGCTCGCGCGCGTGCGCGCGCCGGCGGCCAGGTGCAGACTGCGTCGACCAGGACCGCACCTCCGTCCTCTTCAGGCGGCCGCCTGCGGGGAGGTCGTGGTCGTCGGATGCTGGTCTGGCGTCGCCCATCGTCGGATCTCAGAAAAAGGAGGAGGAGGAGGAGGAGGAAGAGGAGGTGGAGGAGTCTTCCTCTTCAAGGGGAGGGGATACCATCGTCGTCGGACGCTTGCCTTGCTCAGGGCGCGCGCTGGCCGTTTGTTTCTCGGTCTGGCTTGGCCTTGCCTGGCTCGAGGGTGCATTTCTAAAGAGGGCGCCGGCCCCCCCAAGGGGCAATCACGACGCACAGAAACAAAGGCTCCAAAGATGCAGGGGGCGCCGATGAGCGGGGGCACGCGCTGCGAGGGACCAGGGCAGGAGCAAGGAGTGCGTGAAGCCACCACGGGCGACCTCCGGCCAGGGGCCCACGCTTGGCGCGCCTGGATCGCAAGTGCAGACGCAAGGCAGAGAGCGGCAGAAATAAGGCCCGCGCATTCTAAGAAGCGGCCTCCTTTTGGGGAACAGTCCCCTCTTCCCTTCCCGTACCCTCCTGGGAGCGGTGCCAAAGCAGGTACCCAGCACAATGGTGCCTCATCATATTCCAAAGCCCTGAACACGGGCTGAAACTTGACCTTGGAGGTTGCCGCTTTCCAATGTCAGGGCAGCCCACTCCCTCTCCTGTTCCTGTCTCGTGAGCCTGGTCATGCACAGATGGATTCATGGGCACCGCTGCCGCTGCATCCGGGTCGATACTGACAAAGCGAGCGAGCATTCACGCGAACTTCCATGGAGGTGGAAGAGGAGTTTGACCTCGGAGTAATCTGGGGCCCCCGCGGACCCCGATCCAGCAGCTCACCAGGGACCGCCGGGATGGCCAGCATGACTGCCCCCCCACCACCGCCGTCGCCGTCGCCGTCGTCGTCGTCGTCGTCGTCGTCGTCGTCGCCGTCGTCGTCGTCGTCGTCGTCGTCGTCGTCGGCGTCGGCGTCGGCGTCGGCGTCGGCGTCGGCGTCGGCGTCGGCGTCGGCGTCGGCGTCGTCGTCGGCGTCGGCGTCGGCGTCGGCGTCGTCGTCGTCGTCGTCGTCGCCGTCGTCGTCGTCGGCGGCGGAGCGCTGACGCAGCCCTCCCGCTCCCGAGAGGGGGCGCCGTGGGGCCTTCGCGCGCGCGCGGTTGCCTCTCCCCCTTCCGCGCGCGGCGGGCCCCCTCGGCGCGCGCGGCCGTCCTCGAGGGGGGGGAGCGCAGAGCGGAGCCTCCGAGGGGGGAGCGCAGGCCACGCCGGGGGGGCCCGCGGCCCCCTGGGGCCTGGAGGGAGAGAGCAGCCACGCGCAGAGAGGAGTCGGCACCAACGGGCTGGGTACGGGAAGAGGTGGGTGCGATGCCCAGCAGCAGTTCCTGGTTATTTTGAACAGGGCTCGCTGTCCGCGCCGCCGCGGCCTGTGTCCATTCGGGACAGAAGGCCGCTTGCCCATTAGCGGCCGCTGTTGGTTTGGGACAACTTTGTTGTTTGGCACTGTACTCATTCTTTCAGTACCCATTTCGGGCGTCCAAAAGGAGGACCAGGGGGGGAAGGGGTGGGAGCTGCTTGGAGTCGCCGTGGGGGGAAGCGGGGTCCTGAGGGAAACGGACTCCGAGGCTTTTCGCCGTCGGCGGGCTCTCGGGGCCCTGCATGGGCCCCAGGATCGTCAGGAAACGGCTCAGGGAAGCTCGTCCCGGGAGAAGAAGGGCCTCCTCCTCCTCCTCCTCCTCCTCCTCCTCCTCCTCCTCCTCCTCCTCCTTCTCCTCGTCCTCCTCCTCCTCCTCCTCCCTCCTGTTCCTCCTCCTCCTCCTCCTCCTCCCTCCCTCCCCCTCCTGGGCCCGCGCCCCCCTGCTAATTCGACGGCGCGGGCCTTGTCTGTAGATGTGGGGCCCGCGCCTCGAAAGAAGCAGCCTCCTTCCGAGGAGCCCTCCGCCCTGCCCCGTGCCTCCTCGTGCGCGCCGCCCAGTCCAGTGAGGGAGCGCCGTGGAGCCTTCGAGCACGAGGCCGCGCCACGGGCCCCCCTCCGAAGCTGGAGCGCGTCGAGCCTGCGGCCCCTGGGGGGGAGGGGGGCGGCCGCCCGCGACTCCTCGGCGGAGGAAAACGTACCGCCATGCCGCTGTTCTTGCCTACAGGTTTCGCCTTCGTGGGGCCTCCTGGGAGGCCTTCGTCGCCACCGCTGGGTTTGCCTCGGACTTCTGCGCAGAACGCACCCTGGGAGATCTGTGGAGTAGCGGGATCGGTGCCTTCTGTATTCAGGGAGTGGGATGGGAGAGGAGCAACCACGTATGGCCATGGGTATCACTCCCTCCGGGTCACCGCGTGGCTGGTGCAGTCAGGAGGGGCTCGGCGTATACACTCAGTCGTCTGGCTGGCCAAGGGGCCAAAGAAATCGGTGTACGGTGGGGGCATTGGTTCAGGCGTCAGACCCTGGGGGGGTTCTTATTTGATTCGGGCGACAGTGATATCCATGGCCAGTCCACGGTGGGTGTTCCACCGGCTGCCAGGCACTGGATTGCTTACCCCATGGTTCCTTATCTAATGCCCTCTCCGTATGTGCGCTCCAGCGTCCCCCAGTTTCGAGCCTCCCCCAGCCGCCTTCCGGCGGCGGCGCGGCTGCCGCCGCCGCAGGCCGTAAAGGTTGTGGGCGACGGCGTTCCAGAGGCGGGCGAGCGGACGGATGTAGACAGCGCCCCGCGCGCGCGCTCGGAGAAGCGAGCTGCCCGCTCGGGGAGCCCGCGATGTACCAGGAAGCTTGTGGCGGGCCTGGGCGAGAGCTGGATACACACGTGGCCGCGTCGGAGCGACGCGACACGCGCATCCAGACGGGACCTCGCGGCTTCCTGGAGGATTGCCAACCGCGTAACCTGCGCCACTTTCTTAGGCTCCTGGATTGGGTGGGCCAGCGGAGCGACGCGACACGCGCATCCAGACGGGACCTCGTGGCTCCCTAGTGGTTGCCGACTGCGCACTGTTTGTTTGCCATGTTCGCGTTGAAGCTTCGTGCTATGTGCATGACGATCACGCGTCCCAGCCAGTCTTCCTTGGTGGGTTTTGGTAGAGCAGTCTGTGTGTGTTGCCAAATGTAGCCTTCAGGCTGGTTTCCGAGTTCCAGACTGCTCTAGGAATATCAGAGAGCGTTCTGGAGCAATTGGAGCAAGTTCCTCCACCCTACATTCGGTTGACAACCTCGAGCTGCCAGACAGAGTTGCTGGTCTGGAAAAGACCCACGACAGAACTGCCGCTCGGAGAAGACAGCGAGGCCGCATGACTCGCAAAACCAGTTGTTCTGCTGCGACATCGACCGTTGGATGGGCCGAGTGGTGATCCAGGCGGCTAGCCTGCGCCACCGCCACGTGAAGAGGCACCCGATCGTCACAGTGACGTTGCCGGGCGCATAGACGCCAGGCGCCCTCTGAGGTAGCCGTTGTCGGCTGCGTACGTTCGGAAACTGGGTGAGGAGGAAAACACAGTCCACTAATCCAAAAGACAAGGCACATTTCTGCCGCCCTGAGCCTAGAGGAGGCAAGAAGGAGGAGGAGGAGAGGGATTAGGAACAGGAGGAGGAGGAGGAGGAGGAGGTGGAGGAGACGAGGAGGAGGAGGAGGAGGAGACAAGGAGGAGGAAAAGTAGGAGGAGGCGGCGGAAGAGGAGGAGGCGGATCCAAGGATGCTAGGTGGCGAGGGAAGCGAGAAAGAGGAAGAGGGATGGATAACAAACAAAGTAGGTCTCTGGTCTCTGGGCGGGGGAAGACGGAACGGCGGAGGAGGGAGCGGGCGGAATGCAGGAGGAGGAGGAGGCGGAGGCGGAATGAAACGCATCGGGGATAATGAGGAGGAGGAGGAGGAGGAGGAGGAGGAGGCATATCATGGTGCGCAGGCGAAGCGTTGGGGGGCGGGGGGAGGAAGAGGACATGACGAGCAAGGGGGCGCTGGGGGCCCGAGCAGAGCGTCCGACGGGGCGGCCAGCACAGGCCTTTTGCATCCCATGTGCTCCCAGGGATGCGGCCTCCGACGCCTCCTCTTGTGTGCGCGAGCGCCGCCGCCCTCGCCGCCGTGGGAAGGTCGTTCCGTGCAGCACGAGTGCCCTCGCTCCCGCCGAGGACGAGAGGCGGGTGTCGGGATGGAGCGGAGTGGGGGGAGGGGAAGAGACCGAGGGACATAGGCACCCTCGCGGCGTGAATCGTCACGACGCGTGGCGTTGGCACGTGTTCCGCTGGGGGGTTCTTGCAGAGCCCCTGGGCATTCAGGAGGCCACGGGCGATACAACACCAGCACGTGGGAAGAGGTCCAGACCGCCTGTGGGGATCCACGTTGTGAACAAACTACGACGTCGGACCAGCGGCGACGAGAACAGAAGGACCGGAGCAGCTAGTCCTGATTAGGGGCGGTGACCAGAAAGGTGGGCAGGAAAGGGAGGAGAAAAGCAGTTGTTCCTAACGCTCCTGTGTTGGGCTCTCGTTTTGAATAGGGCACGACGGTCGCGAATTCTCTTCCTCCTCCTCCATCCTGCCTCCTCCCTCGCGGTCGCGATTCCTTTGCTCATCCCCCTTCCACCTGCCTCATCCTGCGCTGCTCCCTGGGTGGCTGCGAACAGCGCAACCGTAGCAATGTCCGTGGGCTCCTGGGAGGCACGGCGGAGTCGTGGAGTACTCGCACCCAGACGGGGCCTCGCAGCTTCTTGCGCGACTGCGACATGAGTAACCAACCGTCGTCACTCTCGTGGGCTCCTGGGAGGCACCGCGAACTGCGCAAGCGTCGCCACTATCGTGGGCTCCTGGGAGGCACGCCAGATTTGGGGAATACGCGCAACCAGGCGGGGCCTCGCAGCTCCCTGGGGGATTGCGGAGTGCGCAAGTGTCGCCACTTTCGTTGGCTCCTAGGAGGCACGCCCGAGTCGCGGAGTACGCCATTCCAGGGCATTGCGGATTACGCAACCGTCGCCATGCTGGTGGACTCCGAGGATGCACGGCGGAGTCGGGGGCCACGCGCACCCAGACAGGACCGACCTCGCAGCTCATTGGGCG